GCTGAAGAGCCCTCGACACGGAATGCCACGTCCGCCTTTATCATCCGCTGTATCTGTATCACCGATAATCGCCGTCATCGCGTACAGGGGATGTTAATAAGACGTCGAACCGTTCTCGCTGCCCGAACCTCGCCGAGTCACGATGTCCTCCCCGCGTTCGACCAAATTAACGTTCGATCGCCGGACTGGAAAACCTTTCTGTCCGACTCGCGAGGCGTTCCACCCGTCTCGATACAGTTCAAAACCTGGAAGTGAAACGCGAAGAAACAAGAGCTTTACGATACAGCGCGAGCTCCACGTGAAACCTGCATCCTTTTGCTCGAAAGGAAGCATTGTTATGTTAAGTGAAAAGACACGCCGGTATGGCATGGGAAGCATCGTGAAAGGCGCGGGACGAGGAGACGAGAAAGAGAACGAGACAGGGAATACCGTCCACAAACGGTTCGAGCCAATGCTAGCACGAGGCAACCAGCTGTTGCTGGTATGGAAGCAGCTGCGTCCTACGAAATGCAAACGCTCCGAGCCGAGCCGAACCGAACCGTGCCGAGCTATGCGACCCGAAACCCTGTCGAGGGTGAAGAACAATCTTGAAAGAATCGATCCCCAACTGCACTCTGAACGGAAATCTGTCGAAAACATGGTACTATTCGGGGGGACGGAGAATCGAAACCGACACGCCTTCCCCTGCACACACGAGGTGTGCACGAGCAAAGGTTCGTTTACCGTAGCCTCGTTTACCAGATATGTCACGTTTGCAATTTTTCCGATTTCAGGAACAAAAAAAAAGGGAAACTTGGCGCTCATGCGTGTCGCGTCTTTGACACGCGGTTCAGAACACGACGTCCTTAACAGTTTCGAACAAAGGCCACGGAATACAGCAAACCGGATATACGCGCGATCTTTTTGCGAGTAGATCCACTAACTGCACACGATCCACCCCGAGATCTCGTTTTCCCCCTTCGACGGAAGGTCATCGGCGACCGGATCGCGATGCAACGCTCAAATAAGTAGGCAGCCAGGCTGTCGCGCTAATTGCAGGTGCCGTTACCGTTACTTTCCAGATGGCATACCCGTTTCTGTCGCGCTACCTCGTCCGTTCCAATCGAACAACGTTCCCAGATCGCTACCGTAGCGATCGAGTTTTCCTCCGTGTCTGCTTAACCCTACCCTAACCGACTAAGGTACACCGAGCCCCGACAAACTGTTACCTTCCATGTATTCACCTAATATCGGAGTATAAATATCGAGGTGGCGAGTGCATAGGGAACGGTCTCCGCATACTCGATCCAACCACAATCTATTTTCAACCTACGTTAAACTCTCTCGGACTCCTCCGCTCTGCTCGTCCGTCCCCACTTATCCCCTGTGTATTCTAAGACGCGACCCGATACCATAAAAAGCACCTGTCCGCACCCTGCTGCTCCGCAAGTACAAAGTATCGTTACTGTCGATCGAATTTACTTCTCGACACGGCTCGGTTAACTACCCTCGCGAGCAAACTCGATTTCTGCTTGGGGAATAATTGACGCGATCGTCAGCATTGTTTAAACCGATATATTAGGTCGAGTCATAAGTAACCTCCGATGCAGCTAAGTAGAATCTATTGTTCGTATCTACCCGCTATGAGTTACCATGACAACAAGTTTTTGTTTTCACTATATAGACGAGGCTTCAGTTAATCTTTTGTCAACTGTTTTGTGTGAACACGTTACGATAAACTGTTTTTTTTAACCTCTGAAATGGAGAGTCAAAAAGTACATATTCGTCATGTAATGCTTTGGGAATTTAAACAAGGCAATAGTGCTAAGGCGACAGCTGGGATGGTCTGTTTTACCAAATCCACCTTACTCCCCGGATCTTGCCCCGACAGACTACCACCTTTTCTGTTCCTTACAAAACTTTTTGAATGCCAAAAACCTTCTATTCTGAAGAGCAAGTCAGGCAGGCTGTCGAAAACTTCTTCCAGTCCAAACCAACCACATTTTACAAGGAAGGAATTGATAAACTGCCAGGAAGATGGGAGAAGGTTATAGATAATAGTGGTGAATACATAATAAATTAATATAATTTTGTTATTCAATGAGAGCAAAATAAATGTCTGATAAAAAAACGGAAGTTACCTATGACTCGACCTAATAATACCGGTATTTTACGTTTCGGTAGAAGTCCCTGGTTTAAAGAGAGCATGATTGGACACCGGTTTCCGCGAAAGCACCAGAAATTCGTATGTCCTGTGAATCACTCTTTCGGTACGAATTTAACCGTGTTCGGCGATACTACATTCTTCTCGCGAGGATGTTTTCTCAAGCGATGGGACACTATGTCCGCGTCGTAAAATACCGTGAACGTGATTCATGAGTACCGATACCGCGATTTTACGAGTTCACAAGCCGCGACGCGGGAAAAACCTTTCGAGCACGTTCCGGCCGAAGGAAATATCTGTATATCACTCGAATATCCTCCTCGACGTATCCGGCCGCGAAGTCGGGTGGCGAGGATCGCGGGAGTCATTAATAACTCGTAGCTTGAGTCATCGCGAGGGTCGCGAGGAGGAAAGAAAAAGCGAAAAGTGAGCCACGATGGTCTTGACCTTCGCGGTGATCTACGTCAAAGTTCGAGATCGTGTTAACGATCCAGATAGGAGGAACGTAAATGTTCTCTTTGTTCTAAACGGGTCGCGCGGAGGGTCTGCACTGGGAACGCAAAAGATCCATTCGCCGAAGGTGGAAAAACGTCTGGCAAAAGCCGTGCGTGGGGCAAAAGTAAATCGACGTTAAATGCTAAGACCGTGACGAACACGAGGGACGTTTAAGAGAGCCGCGAGGGCAAACGTTGTGTAGGCAATAGAGCCCAGGCTGGTACATAGGGGAGAGAACGAGTATCGATCGCGAGCGCTGAATCGCTTAATTGGTGGGAAAAGGAACGGAGCGCGTATTTGCTCGAGTTTATTTACATTCGCGAATAATCCCCCCATAGGCCGATATAGCCATAATATTTATACCGACAGCCCTTTCTGCTTGGACGTTTATGGCGTCGCTCCGACGATTCTTGGCTCGACGACTGAAACCGTCACGATTCGATTCCGATTTATCTTCGGTTCGGCGAATCAATTATATACAATATCCTTTCCGAATCATTACGCAATTAAGACATTTTCAGGGAATCGCGTGATGGCTGTTTGCATTCTTCGGGCTAAATAACACGTAACTGCAGCGTCGTCGGGAATGGAGCGCAGTTGGATAAACAATCTGCGACATCGTTTCCTCGAAATACACGTACGGTTGATACGAATCGAAATTCGTTCCATTTGCAAGTAGAGCAATATGTGCGTGCCCGTCACGCGGAACCACGATACCCGATACGCGTTTCGATGCAATACATGCTACGCGCGATTCTGATTGACGGCTGCATAAATTCTTGCAGCGATCAACACCTTCGTGTAAATATCTCAAACGTATCCGGTCGTCGCGAGAATACTGATACGGTGTCGTCGCCGAAGAACCGTCGAGTCGCGTCCGACGATAAATATTAATGCTATCTTGCAATTTACCAGTGAGCCTGTTGGTCGAAAATCACGGCGACTCGACTACGCTATAGCATAATGCGTGCATTATGTATCGATGCAGCAGCGACTTACACGTGCAAATAACATACAGGTACCACCGCAGGCACGTGTAACGACAACAAACATCGTCGCCAATTGCCTATATTGTTGTCACCAGCAGTTGGAGTACACTACTGGCTACGCACATTCAGCAAACAAAACACTTGCCGAGGAAAACGGTAATTCCGTCGATATTTTCCTTGATATTCCAATGGAAAAACATTTTCCCTGACGTACGCCGTCTGAATAACTCTCAAGAAAAAATTACTCTTTCGCAAAGGAATTCCATCGGTTCGTACGCAGGTACGTTCCGCCTAATTACTCCAAACCGATTTTTGTAAATATTGACACACGTGCGTTGTGCACACGGCCACTGTTACACGATTTCGCAATATCTTGACCTTTATAATCGCGTTGTTATGAACTCTACGGTTTTGTTTTTTTTTTATACAATGTCACCGGAGAAAAAGTAACGAATGTTCGATGTACATATCATCGGTGTAACGGTATCGAGGAATCAGTGCGCGCGGGATGATTAATATTAGAAGCGAATTAACTGTGTCGCGTGACCATCGAGCGACCCGATTCCAAGATTTCTCTTCGGCGGTTTCTTACGATCGGCGAGTCATTCAGGACACGCACCGAACCGTCTTCGCGGATGGTCCTCGACCTTGTACATATATGAATACAGTTTCGGAAGAACGTCTCGAGTCTTTCGTAGTCTTTTCTTTCGACTCTCCCCTCCGCCTCTCGGCGGGTACCAACGGAATTCTTGAGGATAAAGAGAAAGAGAATGCGAACGAGCGAGCGAGCTAGCTAGCTAGCGGGAGGGTGGGAGAGAGAAAGAGAGATGCGTTGGTAGACCGAGGTCGTAAAAGAGTATCGGCGCGCGAAGTCTCGACCTCGATCTCTCGCGGTAGGGGCACTTTCTTTCTTCGGGAGGATACAGGAGCGAGGAGTCAAGGGTGCCTCAGGCCTGACCGATCTTCTACCGAACGGCATAGACCTCCCTTCCCCCGTCCGACCGCTTTTTTTTTTCTATCCGTACTCGAACCCTATGTGAAATATTCTTATGCTTTATCTACTTCGGTTGGCACTCGACAGAAACGTACACGCGAAAAAAAACGAGGCACCAGATGGAACGAGAGCAAAGAAAGAAATTTAATTAGCGCAACGCAAAGAACACCGCGTGTCGAACCGGTGACCTCACGAGGTCGTCAGAGGAACGTGGTGCTATTCCAAGTCGGAAGCAGTAGACGAAGACTACGATGACGACGCGCTGTAACCTCGTTACACAAAGAGACGGAGGAGATAGGATACGGCGACGGAGGCGGGGCGAGGTAAGACGAAACGAAGAGAAGAGGAATGGAGAAAAGAGAAGACAAGTTGAATTTACCGTGCGAAAGGTTGTTCCTCGACCTCGTACAGTTCCTCGAGGGTCTGTTTCGAGAGAAGCCTCTCCAGTCTCTGGGGCGTGGGAGCGAGATGCCCTGGGATGCTGGTAGTCTTGAACAGGCTGTCCGCCGTCATGGCCGCTGCCGGTTCGACGATGCGTCAACCGTACGAACAACTCCAAACGGTGGACGGATAATCCAAAATTTCCGTCGGTTCGCGACGACCACGGTTCGAGCCAACGAACGAACCGTTCGGTTCGCGCCTATACGTATATGTGTATATACAATATATATATATATATATACAAGTCACACAAGAAACGGTATCAAAAATTTCACTCGTTGCGATCACAGCCAGCTATTTATCCTGGTAGAGAAATATCCGTTGCGGACGAGAACGATCGCTGGTAGAAAGGGAGTACAGAAAAACAGGGGAGAACGTGTTTTCTCTGCTTTTCTCTTCGGTCACTGCGTTTCCACGGGCTACGGGGATTTACACGCGTCGACAACGTAACGGCGAACGAATCACCACGTCACTGTCGCGATAGTAAACGGCAACACGCATCTCCGTAATCGAAAATTCTCCTCTGTATCGCGCACTGCGGAGCTTGACGACCCCCGGTGTCTGGAAGGCCCGAGTCTCCTCAGAGTACACGCACCGATCGCGATACGAAGAGGCACGCGCTTCTATAGTGCGAGCCTTATCACGCGCGACCGTCCCTCGCGACGGTTCACCAACAATTGAACCTTCCGCCGCGGCTTTGCGCGAGGCCCCCACTCTCAATTCTCGGGTTCCTTCGCTATCTCCACACGCCATGGAGGGGAAAGTATATCCCCTCTTGCCTGGCTAACCGGTGACAGTGTATAGAGAACCGAACCGAACCGAACCACGCCGAACTACTCCGAAACAAACCGAACAAGCTTTTCTGCTGCACCGACGGCGACTCGGCGAATGCAGCATGAAAGAGAGATGCACCCCGACAAGTATGCACCCGAGCAACCGACCGCCAGCCACTTCCTCTTCTCTCTCTCTCTCCCGCGGTCACGAGCCTCCTCGATTCGCGCTCATTTCGTCTCTGCTGCCCCGTTCTCCTCTTTCCATTTTCTATTTTCATCGAAATTCTTGCAATGCTAATTGCATACCTACTGCCTCTCTGTTACGTGGATTTCAAACCACACTGCACATCGGTTCCTTCCTATTATATTCCACGAAAGTAAATGCAACCGACAATACAGTTGCCTGTTTCAATAAATCGATCGCGATCGACGAAGTACAATCGTCTTCGCGATTTTTTTTGGAGTATGTACGACTAGTCGGTTACTCAACTGTGCCATTGTTACGGCACGATACAGCCGCGCGGAGACTTCAACGCCGGGCTTTTCGAGCAAGATACGAGCGTTTCCTGCGAGACGAGATTTCTCTGATTCGTGCGAGCTTTTGAGAATGTTTTGGAAAATCGTAGAACAGTGGTTAATCGGCGAACACGCGAGAGATTGTGGTAGTAGATTGAATACCCCAAGGCCTGTAGAGTAACCAGGAACTTATCCAAGGACCAGCGAATATGACCGGCGGAGAGCCAGAAGGCTTGTAAAGCGTGGCAGGATCTTGTCAACTACCGTACACGATTGTGGCGACCGAGCATGAATAATTGAATGCATAATTCATCGATTTCGCGGCGAAAGAGTAGCGGTAGCTCGCCAGCAGTTGGTGAAAGAGAGGGGCCGCGATCGTAGTTATACGCGCGCCATTACATTATAGATCTCCTAATAAGTCGGTGCAGCTTCCAATGCCGAGATAAATCAGCTAATCTCGATAAGGATAACCGTTCTCTCGCCGCGGCAAACTATGATGTGGTTCTCCCCGTTTCGTAGCAGTAACGCCTCGTTTAGACTCACAAATTCGCAACGCGATGTCCACGAAAAGGCGCGACGAAATGGAAACAGAATCGATGAATCGGTTGAGCACGAGTCGCAGCTTCTTCCCGTCCGATGCCAATGCGAACGACTCGTGCTCCGAATGATTTTCATCGTCGCGCAACTCCGCGATGATGTTCTATTAGGAAATTTGACCAGTCGAACGAGTTTCCGAGCAGGATCTTGCGAAACCCTTCTGGACGAGCTTCTTAATCGAGCTATCTCCCGTTTCCGATGTATCTGGCTGACGCAATTAACGCATACTGCAGCGATAATGTTTCCGTTTGAATTAAGTTGATTTGTAAAATACGAGTTCGCGATGCGTCCAGGGTAGCTGGTAATACAAGAATCAAGTAGGTTACAGATAGCTGAGAGACCAGTTATTGAGCTGGTTAATAGACTTTCGGTGGCAGAAGTGGATTTTCCGAGGCTAATCTAAATCCTTCGATAAGTTGACCACCCATTTAGCAAAGAATTCTGTCGCTTTTTGTTCACTTACGAAACGAAAGGAAGCAAAAGAGAAAATCTTCAAGAATGGCGCGCGTGCTAAAGGGTTTATGCTCGTGCTCCGGCCTGTGTCCGGTAATTGCGAGCCACGATCGAGGAATGAAAATATGCCGATGGAAAAGAACTCGGAGGATCGTCGAGCCGGAAACGTGCCGTCAGTGGGGGAGAGGTCGAGGTCGCGAGGTGGTGTTGAGAGTTTATTGTGAGACCGTTCAAACGCACGTTCGAAAGGGTTCCGAAAAGGTAACGTCATCGCGTTTATAGCACGTACGACTTTCGATGATGTTCCGTTGATTCATCGTTGCTCGAGTAATCCACACATGCAACGAGTTCACTAGAATAGCAGTCGTAATAGGGTTCGAGCGAATGAAACGTCGTTTCTTTCGCGTCACCAATTTCACGGGAATTCCAGCTCCGAATGGAACCTGAAATCAAGGTGTCTGTTCGTTCTGCGATCGTGTATATCGGACTTGCCGAGAAAACGGTGCCAGTTGGGTAACAGAAGATTGTTAATTGGCAAAAGAACCACTCTTGCTCGGTAATGACAGGTTCCTCGAAGAAAGCGCATCTCGCCGCGGATCGGATGAAACGGAGCGACCGGAGATCCCTTCGTTTCTTCGTCGATTCATCCTGGCGTGATTCCGGGTGCGTTTTCTCAAGGATAATTTGGCACGCGATCCCACGCGTGCCGAGAGTGCGTGCTCGCAGGAAACGAAGGACAACGAACGCGGCTGGAATCGGTCGAAAGTATATCCGACTCAGCGGTATATACCTACATTTCCTGCCGCTTCTTTCGATCTTCACTGACGGGTATTCCGTACGAGTGGCCGAACACACTCGTATCCGACTCGTTCCGGTTCGTTTTTCTGAACAGATGTCGATCGTCCGCGTCGAGGACGCCAGCAGCAGCTTCCCGTCCTCTGAAGGACGGAGAAGGATGAGGTGGCGAGCAGGGGATCCTGGTAACTTTCCCTCCTACGCACATAACACAGCGACAAGGAGAGAGGTAAGTAGACAAGAGGAGAAGAAGGCACTGGCATGCGAGAGAGCCTTTCTAATCCGTCCGTGGAGACGATGTTTTCGTGCCAGTCAGTATCCTGATGAAGGTGTGCTGCCTACCTCGAGGGGCAAGGACGGCCGAGGCCGAGCAAGCTCTGCAGCGTGGCAGGAAGTCAATTTGAAGAAAGAAAGAAAGAGGAAAGCCAATCAACCGAACAAACACTGACAACCTTGTATAGGATACACCTTCGTGTGCTACACAACTGTGCATCGAGACAAGTCTAGACGTATTACCGTTTCGATCGTAATCGTCTTGGAAAGACGAAAACAGTCCATGTAGATTTCCTTGGAAATCCTTCGATTGGATAGACATGATTTCTGGTTATAGGTTTCGAGCTGCTTTTCCTTCCCACTTCTCGACTACCGATCGTCAATTCTACCGATCGTGGAAACAGGAGACTCAACGAGACGCGAAAAGTCCTGATTTCTCACGGGTTTATTTCGCTTATTGTAAGTAAAGAAGGATATTAGGATTTCCAGCAAAGAATAGCTTCGGTTCCCGGTATCGCGCGGTCGAATGGCCCAGATTCGTGGCACACATTTTATCGCTTATCACGCTGGTTCTGGTAGCAAGCAAATACAGCAAATGTCCTGCCCCGTGGAGTATTTGTTCGTTCCACGGGAGATACACGCCTCTGGAATCGAGTATCTTGTGTATCGAGAGTTTCTCTAAAGTCTCTTCAGATTCGGTAGCACCAATTCCTATTCACGTTAATCCACTGTATCTGGTAGGCCGATTCGCCTCGATAGCCGCGAGAATTTCTGCTTATTACGTGGGAAGTTATAATTTACGATCGCGAGTGTACACGTCGGAAAGCTGGTACACGAGGGCCCTCATAGGCGTTTGAAAAGCTGGCTTCTTTGTGCGAGACAGGAATCTTTATGCGGCCTTGCGAGAAGCGTCGAGAATCTGTTCCGGATCCTTTGTCCGGCATTCTGTGGCGAGCAGCTTCCTTTTTGGATTTGCAGTCGGAGATAAGGATCCAGATGCCGGAACATTGTTCGTTGGGTACATAGTCCATTTAAAAGCCCGTGTTTACCGAGCCAACGATCTTCCGTGATCTCTAACATAGATCAGAACGCTACGTTTCCGAGGAAAGTAGACAGCAATTTGTCCTTGTCTAAGGAGATAAGAGGAGCCACGACGCCATTCGACGAAGCTCTCGACCCCTTTAACGTTTCGCCCGAAACAAAAAAAGCGAAAGACGAAAATCTACGTTTTCGACGAATCTGTAATTTGCATTTCAAAAGCGGTAAAGGTAAAGAAACTCGTCGAGTGTCGCGACTCTCTGTTTTCGATCCATGGGTTTCTCGAGGAACGATTTAACGCAGAGAAATTGTTGGACTGTCTCGAGCGACGTATCGAACTTACAATCAGTGGGGTTCAACAGCTAAACACGATTACGTTGGTAGCGAAATTTGTGCCAAGGTTAATATCCCCGCGAAATTTAAGAGTGTACTTGAAACGACTGCGAAATCACCGTTTATTATACTCATTCGAACGTCACGACGATCATCATCGTAGTGTGCATGCAATATGATTGCAATATGATGCAACGAAAGAAATCAATTGAACAATTCGCGTGTACGCGTAACTCGGTTACGAATCGCTGTCAGATTTATCGGAAGCGAAATCGCCACACGGAATACATATGGAAGATCGTAATTATCCAGCCACGTGGCTAGTAAAACGTCGCGTAAAGAAGCCTTGTATCGGAACGGTGAAAGTATTTATTACCTATACCTTCAAAATAAGCAACCAGAAGAAGCACGTGCAGATAGTAAAGAAGGCGACAGATGCTGCCCGTGCGAATGCATAGTTCGAGGTTGCTCGTCGCCTGTACAATAAAACAAGCCTGGGCTCCGTCTGGCGCGACGTATAATCCGTCCCACGTGTTCGTAAGAGGATCTTTTCGGAGGTATAATCGTGAGTCTAGTTCGTCTCGAGATTACACTTATCTTGCACTACAACAGGAGCACAAATACGTGGAGAGTCTATCTTGACACGAGACCTGGAAGATTCAGTGCTCGATATAGGCCAACAAAAATTCTATCGAAACTACCGAGGAAGAAGACACTATAATCAAAGTATTTATCTTATTTAAATGGAACGTGTCTTCGTGAAAAATCTAGATAATGAGACGTTGGGAGGTACTTATAAGGAAAGTACCTATCCATGTTACGTATCATGGAAAGATGGTCCGATTTGGGAGCAAGTTCCTCGAGCATGAATCGTCCAA